TAAACCTATAAATATATACACATAGATCTATTTCCCCATCTTCATATATAAATATATTTGCATACATACATGACTTTGTTTAGACCTCCATAAACGCCCTTTGCCTCCTAGCTCTTTCCTCTATTTCCTTTGACTTTCCTCTTCTCCCACTATCAGAATGAGTCTTCATTTGGATTTAAGTATTTCCTCTTGGTTACATTACCCTTGATCCTGCCCTACCAGGCCTCCTATACCCTCCTCACCACTGATTTGGATCACTTGTTCCCTTGTCCCTGGGTTTGTTAACACCACTACTGAGATAGTTTATTGTGCCAGCCTGGCCGATAAACACAAGTGGGATTAACTGAAGGTCAGAGAGATAAATGGCTTGGTGAGCTTCATTTTTCTTGTCTCTCGCTCTTTGATCATCAGACCAATGTGCGGCTGCCTTGCTTGTTCTGTGCCTCAATTTAAAGGCTATACTACGTGTGGGACGCCTAGCCTGTGGACTGTGTTGCTGTAAGTTGAGGTCCCTTTAAGACATCTCTGGAGCTGGGGACTGGTGGTTGGTGACCTGCCTTTTGATTGGCTGCTGTGCCGACATAGCCTACCTCTCTCTATAAATAGAGGAAGATCTGGCAGCAGATTAGACTTGAAAGACTGCTAGTCTCTCACACTTCTCTCATGGGAGTGAGTTGAATTGAGCCATTTGTAGTCCTTTATAATTTAACTGTTTCTTTCTTGTATTATATATTTATCTGTATCTGATTTAACAGTTCATTTCTTGTTATATATCTAATTATCTTTATAAATAAATGTATTAAATTATCAGCAATTTGGTTTTATCTCTCTAGAGAACCCTGTCTAACACAACTACCTTTCCCCCACCTCCCCGTCTCCCCTTTTTCCCCGTAACTGTGGGTCTCGTTGTTTTCTCCTCCAGATTGTTCATCCATCCTATCTTATTTAGACAGACCTGCAGAGATAATAACATGCACAAAAACAAGACAGATCAAAACCAAGCAACAGTATACAACAAAACAACAACAAACCAATGACAAAAAACAAAACAAAACACTACAAGAAAGAAAAGCTTGTAGTTAATTCAAGTATTGTTTGTTGGCCTTTAGGAGTGTTTTCCAGTCCAATCTGTTTGGGCACCATGCCCTGGCCCCAAAGTCCACGTTCAGCATTCCCTGGGGACCTGGGTTTCTGTTATGGACTGAATTGTGCTCTCCAAAAATATGTGCTGTAAATCACAACCTCTCCACTTGTTGTTGTAATCTCATTAGGGAATGGATTGTATTTGTCATGTTTAGTGTAGAGTATATTTTGACTCAATCTTTTACAAAATATATAATGAGCAGATTAAGCAAACTGAGATTAAATAAGAGCGATGCCATGACATCTTAAGATTTATGGAGAGCAGAAGCTTATAATAAAAAAAGTATCTTCCCCCAGATCTTTCAAAGGTTAAGCACCTTCTCTAAGAGCGTGTATCCAAAATGTGAACTTCTAGCATCTTAAAGGATGAGAAAGTAAACAATCCACTTATTAAACAATCCACTTCAGTGACAACATTAAATAACTAAGACAGACTGGATTTTGGTTTTTTAACTATTTCTAAAACAGAGATGATACTTAACCTAATCATGATGTTCTAAGGACATTTGAGAAGTTGTTATTATGTGCTATTTAGTTAGTTTCACCTCACAGAAATCCTATGTACAACAAAATTAAACATTTCTCAGTCCTGCACCATCTTCACAATCATTGCTTTGTTTGAGCCCATTGTTACAGTTACTGTGCAAATCCCATCTTCTTGATGGTTTTCTTCTCTTTTGTCCTCTTTTTACCAAGTACTTATAAAAAACAAAGCCCATTTATTTTTCCATTAAACAAAACCTCTAAGAAGTACCAACATATGCAAACCACTGTGTTAGGTGCTAGGTTAATCAGAAGTGGTTTCTCTCATGAGTAGCTTACAGGAAAGCCATGTAAAAACATGACATTGTTTGCTATGATTTAGGTTTCATAGTAAAAAAATATAAATGCAAAAGGCTAAGTCGAATAGCTGATATTGGAGCTGAGTCTTAAAAAATGATTAGGTGCTTGGCAGGAGGCTAAAGGTCAGGAAGCGTGAGGAGAAGAACAGGAGCAAAGAAACGGGCTGAGATTCAGATGATAAGCAGAGTAGGAAAGACTTTTCAGGATGGGGTTTCTGGAGCAGTGAAATAGGACTGGAAGGTGAAATGCAGGATCTTCAGAGCCTTTTGTGTAGAAGCAATGCAGAAGCCATATCTGACCTCCTCTGGCTTCTCTATTGCCACAAGGCAGAAGTCAGGCATGCCTCCATCCTCCATTTTTCTTTACCTGTTCTGACACCAACCATTGCTCTTCTGGCACACTACTATGCTGGGTTCAATAATTAATTGCAGTGGCCACACAAAACTCACAGATGTCAATTCTCCCAGTCTACCTTGTCTTACAGGGTCACTATGAATTGGTATCGACTCAATGATTGGGGTTTTCTTAGTAAGTTAACATGTTACCACAAATCAGGATCAGTAAATCTTAAGGATATGATCATTGGTCCACAGCAGTGTCTCTCCTCAGCCAGCAGCCAAATTTCTCTCTCTTCCTCATCTTCTCAGCCATGTGATCCCTTGGCTTCTGCTATGAGCCAGGAAACCAACCTGCTGCTCTGCCCCACACTCTCATAGACTTTAGGTTGCTCCTCGTTATATCTCGTGGTCTCTTTGCCTAGGCTTCTGCTCTTGGCTTTGCTCTGCCCCATGGTTTATGTGCTGCAGCTTCTGGTGCCTCTGGTGTTGGCCTCTACCACTTTAGGCAGAGATCTTGAATGTGCTAGACTGGTGCCTGCTCTTCTGATTGTCTTGGGATGTTACTCTGTGCTCCTGCTTCTTTCTTTTTCATGTTTTAAGTAATACTAATTTATTGTGTTTTGGGAAATAACTAACACATCAAGTTAGGTTCCTGTTTGATAATATCCATACAAATTGATCCATACAAAATATTTGTATATTTTCCATATTGTGTCAGAATTCTCCTTTTGTGTGGGTGTATCAACCTGTAAAAAAAAATTAGTTTTATTGAGCTATAAGTAACACCTCATGAAATTCAATAGTTCAACCATATTAAGAGGGGTTGTGCAATCATCACCACAATCAACTCTGGAACATTCTCTTCCTTTTGTACTCATTGCTGTTGTCTCCCCATTTACTTCACCCTCTCCCCTTCTGTACTCCCAGGTAATTAAAAATGTGGAATACTTGATGAATTTGTGTGTCATTCTTGTGCAGAGACCTTGCTAATCTTTTTTGTATTGTTGCGGTTTTGGTATATGTACTGCTGAGGCAAGCACTATACTGCTTCTGAGATGACTCTTTATACACAGAATAGCTTCTATGGAGCTGTAGTTTTTTGTCTTTCAACAGATTTTACCCCCAAGGAAGCAAAATGTGGGGACTTATGTCACACCCTCGACTAAGGTGGAGAATCAGAATATGTCCCACCCACCTTAGTCCTGTAATAGAGAACTCCCTCTAAAATGGGATTATAACCACAGGCATAGAAGCTGGAATTTATAGTACATCACATAAGGAATTATGTACGGTTAAAAGGACCACATTAATGGACTTTATCTCACTGTTTAAAGAATTTTATTCCATACACAACAGGAAATCATTACAATAAAAGCTAAGATATAACGTGACCAGCTCCACATTTTAAAGAAGAGAGCAGCTGACACCATAGGCAACAGCCTGGAAGAATGAAGGGCAGCAAATGGAGATTACAGCTAGACCAACAAAATTACCCAATTGAGTGATGAAAGGCTGCAACTAAATCCCAATTGCTGTGGATACAGAGAGTAACAGATGATAGACATATTAGGAACTTGTTAACTGCATATCAAGGAATGGGTAGGAGAAACTGGAAATTATTCCTAGATTTCTGAATTGAGTAATTATTAAAAATTTTATGGTGGTAGGCTTTATCAAAATAGAGTGTATAAAACATAATTGAGGATTGTGGAGTAGATAATTACACTTTTGAACATGTTGGATTTCATGTATGGCACAACTTTCCTGGCCTGTTTTTCTTATTAATGCAGTTTATTATTTTCCTAAAACTTCTTTCAAATAAGCTCCCTGTGATTGTCGTGTGTGTGTGTGTGTGTGTGTGTGTGTGTGTGTTTTATTCTTTGGGAGTTCCAATAAACAATCACCATACCTTCTGAGCTGACATCTCTGCTTTGGAAGCCACTGTTTTTTGTTGTTTTTAAAATCATTTTATTGGGGACTATTACAGCTCTTTTAATATCCCATACATCAATTGTATCATGCACATTTGTATATATGCTGCCATTATCATTTTCAAAACATTTACTTTCTAATTGAGCCTTTGGTATCAGCTTCTCTTTTTTCCTGTCCCTCCCTCTAACCCACTCCCAGCCTTGTGACCCCTTGATAAATTATGAATTATTGTTATTTTCATATCTTACACTGAATGCTGTCTTCCTTCACCCACGTTTCTGTTGTTCTATTGTTCAGGGGGTGGGATGGATTATGCGTTGATCATTGCAATCAATCCCCCCTCCCCCTCCCCTCAGAGAATGTACACTGGTACAGATAGGAACTGGAAACACAGGGAATCCAGGACGGATGATCCCTTTAGGACCAGTGGTGTGATTGGCGATACCGGGAGGGTGGAGGGAAGGTGGGGTAGAAAAAGGAACCAATTACAAGGATCTACATATGACCCCCTCCCTGGTGGACAGACAACAGAAAAGTGGGTGAAGGGAGACATTTTATAGTACAAGACATGACGAAATAATAATTTATAAATTATCAAGGGTTCATGAGGGAGGGGGTTGGGAATGGAGGGTGAAAAATGAGGAGCTGATACCAAGGGCTCAAGTAGAAAGCAAATGTTTTGAGAATGATGAGGGCAATACACATACAAATATGCTTGACACAATGGATGGATGTATGGATTGTGATGAGTTGTACCAGCCCCCAATAAAATGATTTTTCTTTAAAAGCATATGGAAATATAAAAAATTAGGGGAAGAAAATGAAAACCAAACATAGTAAAAAATGCTTTTAAATCTATCATGGGTTTAAATAATATTTAAATTCTGCAAATATTTAAAAGTAACTAGGTTTGGCAAATAATTCACTTGAAATTGATATAAATTCCATAAAACTGCTTATTAAATGTAAACACACTATATACAATTGCCCTGATAGTGTAGTGGTTGGGTGTTGGGTGCGATTCAAATTGTCGGCTGTTCGAAACCACCAGCAGCTCAGCAGGAGAAAAACTGAGCTTTCTACTTCAGTCAACAATTACAGCCTCAGAAATCCATGGGGGTTGCTATGAATCAGCATTGACTTGATGGCAGTGAATTTGTTTGAGTTTTGTATATAATTGGTACTGAAACATTTAGGCAGTCAATTTCAGGATAGCAAGAGTTATTAAATTTGATCTCACATTTATATGAATTAATTAGCTTCATGATTGCTTTTGATCTTGCTTAAGAGAGTGATAGCTGATCTTTATGCATTTTTGGCCATAGTATGTAGATCCAAATTCCACTATATGTCACATTAGTGGTAATTCTGTGGTCTTCCTCCAGTTTCTGGACTTCAGTAACCATGTCTTCATTCTTTGAGGTTGATGGTTTTTCCCTTCTTTCAGTTCATCTTTTAGGTGTTCCTAACCTTCCTTACAACACTTGAATGACCTGAGAACCGTTGTTTTATGAGGGACAGAATTCCTATAAACTTGTTGCAAAGCTCCAATGATTTGGGAAGATGTCCACTTGAGTTTTTTTTAAAATTTATTTTTAATATTTGGTGTTATCTCTGACCTTAAAAGAGGCTTTAAAAAACAAAACAAAAACAAACAAACAAACAAAAAAAAGAGGCTTTTTTTTTTTTGGTAGCACCAAAAATATTTTTTTTAAGACACCTAATGAAATTAACCTTGTTTATATCAATCACTGATTGCAGAAACATATGTAAACATGTATTAGGAATAAATATGTGTGTGCACTGGAATCCTAGGGGCAATGATGTTTGTTTATTTGAAAACAGCTTTATTGGCACTTCATCCACATGTCATACAACTCAATAATATCAAGAAGAATTGTATAATCATTACCACAATCAATTTTAGAATATTTTCTTCTTATATTCATTGTTATTCATGTATTTATTTATTTAGCATTTTTTAAATGTACACATTGATGATTCATATTTCCTTTTGACTCTTACACTTCCCTAATGTTCAGTTTCTATTCACCTGGGCTTATCTGATAGCTTTTTTTCCTGCTCCTGAGGTTTTACTTATTGTGAAATGTATTAGAATTTTTACTTACCATATATACTTGTGTAGAAGCCAAGTTTTTCAGCACATTTTTATGCTGAAAAAGCTACCTCGGCTTATACTCGAGTGAGGGTCCCCCTTAGCTGTTCTCCGGTGCAGTGTGGGTCTTCTCCTTTCTCTCCTGTTCATCTGCGGATACCTGGCTGTAGTATTAAATTAAAAAATTTCGCGGGGGGGTGGGTGGGGGACGGCACAGCCCCCACCGCTAATGCTCCTATTACTACTATTCGGATTCAGTAATGCACAATTGTACGGTTGAGATATATAAGTATTATATTAAAGTCATTGAGAGCATGAGAGATATTACAATAATACAGTCAGACATGTTACATGGCAACATTGCTCACCTCAGCTCAGCTTAGTGGTCCACGTGGAGAGAGGGGGAAGGGTAGGGGGGAAAGGGAACAAGGGAGAGGGGGAAGAGAGTCAGGGTGGTCAGAGTCCGAGTCCGCCATGAATATCCAAAACAACTGATGCCTTAATTAATGTAATTTTATTGGTATCTATTTTTATTTTGAAATTTACCAGTAGCTGCTGCGTTTCTCACCCTAGGCTTATACTCGAGTCAATAAGTTTTCCCAGTTTTCTAGTGATAAAATTAGGTGCCTCGGCTTATATTCAGGTCGACTGATATCTGAGTATATATGGTACTTCTAAGGGAGATTTTCCAACCCATTCTATGTGGCCAATATTTCTTTGATACACCAAACCAGAAAATGACATTTAGAGAAAATAAAAATATGGACTAATGTCTGTTATAAATATAGGTACAACCCCCCCCCACCCAAAAAGAGTTAGCAAACAAAATTCAGCAATGTATATAAACGTTTTTACACCATGTAAAAATATTATTTATCCCAGGAATAGAAGGTTGAATCAAAATACAAAAACCAATGTAATATGTACAAGATTAATAGAAGAAAGGACAAAACCATGTGATCATCTCATTGAGACACAGAAAAGCATTTACCCAAGACCTAACCCTGAGAGGGGGCAGCTATTAAAACAGAGTGGATATTGGAGAAGGGCATGGTGCCCCAATAGGCTAGACTGGAAAACACAAGCTTTTCTTTCTTGGTATATTTTAATTTGTTCTTTGTCAGTGGCTTGATGTTGTTGCTGTTTTGTTGTAC